AGGTCCTGGAGTGGCCTAGCCAGTCTCCAGACCTGAACCCAATAGAAAATCTATGGGAGGGAGCTGAAACTCCGTGTTGCCCAGCGACAACCCCAAAACCTGAAAGATCTGGAGAAGACCTATATGTAGGAGTGGGCCAAAATCCCTGCTGCAGTGTGTGCAAACCTGGTCAAGAACTACAGGAAACGTCTGACCTCTGTAATTGTAAACAAAGGTTTCGGTACCAAATATTAAGTTCTATTTTTCTATTGTATCAGATATTTATTTCATACAATAAAATGGAAATAAATAAAAAAATCTAACAATGTGATTTTCTGGAATTTTTTTGGAGATTCTGTCTCTCACAGTTTAGGTGTACCTACGATGAAAATTACAGATCTGTCCATTCTTTGTAAGTGAGAAAACTTGAAAAATCGGCGGTGTATCAAATACTTATTGGCCCCACTGTATGGACATCGTGGATTCTATGTTCAACTCTGGCTGCAAAAAAATTGCCAAATTTTTTAATTAATTTGGGATAGTTTTAAAAGGCTAATTTTTCTAAACTCAAACTGTTTCCTCTTGTAAAAGACAAAAAATTTTTCCCAGAACTTGACTCGATTCAGAAAACATGAAAACCTCCAAAAACAGCACAATCAGCTCAGATGCGTCAGCTAGCAGAAACACTGTTAAGATCATTATCTTCATCATCATTATGGTAACTGCCATCCTTCAGCTTAGGGGGGTGGGGCCATGCAGGGATACAGGCGTGGAGGGGCGGAGCTAAGCGCTACACATCATTTCAGTGGTAAAAACATTAAGAGTTCATTTTTAAAGTTTTCTCTCATAAAATAAAGGACCTTGACTTGGGTTAGGGTTCACCCTTGACTGACAGGTAAGGGCAGCCAATGATAGGAGAGAAGTTGATGTTAGGGGGCGGGGTTAGAACTTCAATACATAATCACTTCCTGTACAGTTCAATTCACAAACACTTTGACATGATTCTGATTCTGACATTTCCCACCATATTTACACTCCCTCCATTTTGTCTACTGTCCCAACTGCAGCAGCCATTTTATGTCCAGCTTCTCCTTTTTTTCTTTCACACTGACGTCACGATGTATGAACCACGCTCACCGCTGCCACCGCCCCCACTGCCGCTGCTGCCTTCTCCGCCCTTAGGCTCCCGTTTTTTGGTGACGGGGGTGGGGATGAGAGAGGGTCGTGTGGGGGTCATTGATGAAGCTGTGGTGGTTGCTGTGGCAGTTGTGGTGACATCACCATTGCTCTTCCTTGGGCTTGGTGTATAGTTGAAGGGGCTTACACGAGCTGCCACGGCACCACTGCGCTGCTGACTGCGTTGCTGCTGCTGGCGTTCAGGTGGCGGCGGCTTTTCCTCGAGGCTCTCATAGCTGTGACGCAGGTTGAGGTTAGAGGAGGAGGATATTCTGGAGGGGGTGGGGCTGTCGATGATGGGCGGGGCATTGGCAGCAGTAGGAGAGCGGACTGAACAGGAAGAGGAGGAACGTGGATTGTTGACTGGACAATCTTCCAGTCGCACCCACACATCTTCTGATTTGTCAGTCAAGTTGTGGACAGCTGATGAGTCGCTGCCACTCTTTGCCTTACTCCATGTCCCCTTCGGCCTCATGGCGCCTTCCTCCTCACTCCGCCCCTTTTCACTGGACTCCGATGACGCCGACAGCACTGATGATGAGCTCCCTGTCCGTTTCCATGTCCCCACACGTGGTAACGATGTGGAGTGTTTCCCACCACTGGCTCCTCCACTGCCACTGTTTTCCCGCTTCCAGGTGCCAGTGCGGCTGAACCGTGATGGTGTTACTTCCTGTGGACGTGAAGGGCTCTCAGAGTGTGAGCGGTTAATATCATGCCTCCTGGTTGTTGATGGTAGTGGTGTATCGGGGCTGGACGGTGATTCTAAAGCTGCTGCTGCAGCAGACTCCTCCACCTTCCTCTTCAGCGTTGGACTTGGAGCTTCTTTGATAAAGGTCGACTGTCGGACAAGCACCGGTTTCTCAGGCTCCATCTTCTGCTTTTTAGCTACCATGGAGCCGCTAACCCTTGATACTGGCTCACCCCTGGGGATGCCGCCGCTTCCACTCTTTGCTACCATGCTCTGTTTGGGTGGTCTGTAAGATGATGATGCACTTCCTGGAGATGCAGTTCGGGGCAGCTGTGACAGCTTCCCTCCCTTCTGATTGGCTGCTGTGGAAGAACGAGATGGAGTGGAGTCCCGAGAGGACCCGCCTCCTCTGTCATCGCTGCTTCCCGGTGCTTTGGCCACGCTTGCTGCTCTGGGTTTGCTCCGCCCCCTGGCTGCTGGCTCTGCCCTCGGCTTACCTGTGATCAGACTCCTGTACACCTTCTTCCCTCCTCTCACTGCCTTCGCCTCTTCCTCATCGTCCTCCTTCTTCTTGGCCTCCAGCATGCTGCATTCTCCTGCCTTCAGGATTCTGGCTCCTCGTTTCACCTCCTCTTCCTCCTTTTCTTCTTCTGCATTATTAGTGGCTTTTGGGAGACGGAACGGTGAACCAACAGACTTTAAGGAGAGGACTGAGTCAGAGTCTGATGATGGTTGGCGAGACAGTGATGAGGCAGCAGCAGCAGCATTCAGGCTGCTGACAATGGAGTTGGCGCCTTCTTGAATAGCCTTCCAATCAAATGACTCAGAGTCAGGTGAAGCAGGGCTTCTTGGCGCCTCTGAAGGTTCCTCTTCAGCCATAATACAATCATCAGCTTTTGGAGCAAGAAGTGATGTGACAACAGCAGTGGAGACGGTGGCAGCTTTCTTCTTCTTCTTTGGCATGGCTGAGCTAATGCACTCCTGCAGCAGGTCATCCTCAGAATCAATACTCAGTGAGCTGAGCGACGAGTTCCTTGAGAAGCAGACGGGTGTGTCCTCCACATGGAAGGCTTTAGGGGCATAGCCACTGGCTGTGGGGGGACGGGACTTCAACACCACCTGTGCAGGAGGAGTAGATGTCTCTGCTTTGCCACCATCTTGATTCTTTCGCAGTGGTGGAGCAAAATCCTTGTTGTTGTTCTCCTGGTCAATGTCGCTCAGCGAGCTCAGTGATGAATTTCTTGAAAAGCAAACAGGTGTGTCCTCAATGGCAAACTTCTGCTTCTCATCTGCTGCTGTCTGACTGTTTGCAGGTTTGGTTCGAGGTAAAACGGATGCCGTCTGCTGCTTCCTCTTTCTGCCTTCTTCTTCTTTTGTTCTCTTATCCTCTTCATCTTTCTCACCACCGTCATCTTCGTCAAAGTCAAGAGAGCTCAGCGAGTCATTGCGTGAGAAGCAGCATGGCGTTCCCTCAATGGGCGTGTAATGTCGCGGTGAGTCGAAGGCAAACCCTGATTTTGCTTTGGTGGCTGTAGCTGTTGGGATGCCATATGACACGCGCTGGGGCATTGGCTTCACGGGTGATGTTGGCTTCTGCTGCTGCTGTTGGCAAAGAGGAGGTGGGTCTGGAGGAGGAGGGGGGGTAAGGGATGGAGCGTGGCGTTGCTCACAGGTGGCTGCTGCTCTGATTGGTTTTCTGGGTTTGGCTTTGGGCATTGCAGCGCTAATGCACTCAGCAAGTATGTCATCACCGTTCTCCCCCTCAGGAAGTCCGACCAGCCTTCTTTGGGTGGATGTGGGTGGGCCTACAGCTGTGACGGATGCTGCTGTCTCCTCACTGGGTGGAGTGTCGATAGTGAGGTCACTAAGTGAGGTGGCAGTAGAGAAGTTGAGTGGTGTTCCCTCCACACAGTAAACTCTTGGCACCTCCTCTGGAGGAGGTGGCACATCTTTCCTCTGCTGTGATTGGGGACGGCTTTGAGGTGGGAGAAACTTGTAGACAGGAAGTTGGCTGGGCTTCCGTGGTGCTGCTTGTTGCTGTTTTTTTGGTTTCCGTGATGACTTCGGCATGGCCATGTTGATGCAATCCTCCAGGATCTGGATGTCATTGTCGTCATCTGATTCATCGAGGATTGGCTTTGTTGACTCCTCCTCCTTTTTCTCCTCATTCTCTTCCTCCTCTTTTTTCTTATTAATCTCTGCTGCAATGTATGGCTCATCCAGACTGAGCGCACTCAGACTGGAGGCTCGAGAGAAGCCATGTGGTGTGCTCTCGGTGGCGAAGTGCAGCATGACATCAGTGCTGCTCTCCCCCTCATCCTTCTTGGCTTTATCATCCACCTTTGTTTTCTGTGTTGATGGCAGTGGGGGTGTTTTGGCACGGCTTGGCGGCATGGTCTGCCCTGGGCTGTCAGGAAGGTCACTAGGGCTGACCACGCCACTTGGCACGCCACTACACGGCTCACTGGAGTGAACAGAGCTGGCAATGGAACTGGTGGAGAAGCTGTCAAGGGAGCTCACCGATGTGCAGCGGCTGAACATCAGTGGTGTCTCCTGAGCATATGGCTGCTCTGGTGGGCTTTTAGGAGTCCTGGTGCCTGAGGATGATGTCACATGGTGGTGGTGATGGTGGTGGTGGGTGTGGCCATGGTGGTGATGATGGCCTCGCCGTCCCCGTGCAGAAGGAGTGGCACTGGCAGTCTGGCTTTCTGCCTCCTTCTGCTGCCTCTGCTCATGTGGATCTTTCTCACTAACAGGAAGTGTCGGATAGTCGTTGGTGCCACCACAGCTGACAGTGCTCCCAGCTCTCCTCTTCCTCCTAATGACATCAGTGTCCTCCTCCTCCTCTGATGACAGCGACGACAGCGAGCTGCCTCTGGAGAAGCAAATGGGTGTGTCCTCCACGCAGTACGTCTGTGTTGACTCCTGGTTGCTTTTTGGCACTGCCCGACTGACTGGGGGAGGAGGGGGGCGGAGCTTGCTGGTAGAAGCAGTTGGGATAGTGGGGAGGGAGGGGGCAGCGGTATCTTCTGGCTGAAACAGTGGCTTGCGAGTGGTGTCAGTGCTATATTTCAAACTGTAGTCAATTGGCTCCTCACCTGTTGAGTCACCGCCATAGTTTGATGCCGCTGTGACAATGACATAGCGAGGTTGTGGAACAGATGTCTGGCAGTTGCTGCTTGTTGCTGATTTATTACCATCGTTCCTCCTCATCAGCGTGATGCTCTGTTCATCATCATCTTCACTCTCAATGCCGTCGCGGTGACTTGGACTTTGTCTCCCTGAATTTAGTTCATCCGAGTATTTCAGACTGTAGTTGATAGGAGTATCTAACTCTGCACCATCATCATCTGCCATGTGGTTGGCACTACGAATTTTATGGGCTAGGTCGGCCGGGTACTTCCTGTAGACGCAACACTTGTTGGCGCCGCTCTCGTCAGATGAGTAGAACGGCTCTGATGATGGTTTGTTTTTGCCGCGGTTGCCATAGCCATCGGCACTTGTCACACTGTTTAGGCTATCGCTCGATGCTCGAACGCTGGGTGCGAACACTGGCCGAGCATATGCCGTTTCCTCACTCATTTTCTTCGATCCGTCTCCATTCTTTGGGCTTGACAATACTGGTGTGTTAGTGTATGAGCGTGTCATGCTCCCTCCTCCTCCAGCACCACTACAGCCCCGCCCCTTCCTGTGTGCCGCCTTGGGGCTTAGGTTGTCGATGTTATCAAAAGTCTCTGATAGCTGCTGTGCATCCAGTTCCTCAAATAACGCCTTCTGTTTGCGTGCATGCAGTGATGGAGCACCAGCACCTGGCGACAAGACACTGGCATCCTTGTAGCGTGCTGGGCGGTTGGCCATTAGGTTGCGCAGGGCAGCAGCACTGCCCATGGCAATCATCTTGTGGCGGGAGTGGATGAGGTTTCGCAGCATGCCCACAGCGCCCAGCTCCCATAACGCCTCCTGGTCTTTGGCATCTCGAGCTGACAGGTTCCAGAGCGTTCCACAGGCATTGGATACGATAGTCAGACTGTGAGACTTGAGGTGCTGCAGCAGGGTTGGCAGGCAGCTGTGCTCACGCAGGATCTGCCTGTAAGATGAAATGGAGGGAAAAGAGAGGATTATTAATGTTGTTTTTTTTGCATTTATTCCAGACAGTGTGCGTTCTGAGGTCATCATAAGTTGATTACTTATGTGTTTACCTGTGCACCTCATTGGTGGCGATGAGGCTGGACACGTTGCGCAGAATGCCACCGCCACTCTCGATGATGGCAGCGATGAGTCAGTGTTCCCACCAGAAATGCCAGAGCACCATCCACTGCACAGATATCAGCTTTGTTCTCTGTACAGTGAGCCGACAGGTTCCAGAGTGCACTCAGTACAGACTTCAGGGTCGACTCCTGTTTGAGACAAAGAAAGACAGCGAAGCACAGTTTCAGAGCAGGCTCCATACAGACCTCAAAAGTTCAAGAAGAAAAAAAGCATCTGATTGCAATAACCAATAAAATAACTATTTACCTTCTGGACCTCGAGAGCGCAGCCCATCAGTGCTCGCACACTGCCGACCTCACGCAGTGTTTTCTTACTGTTGACATCAGCACGCCAGGACAAGTTTCTCAAGACACTTGCTATCACCTGAAAGCACACAAAATGCTCAGAGACAACAAGCCTAAATGGGAAGAATGCCTAAGGACCAGTATCCTCCGAGACCACCGTGCTGATGACAGGTGAACACACCTGCTGCAGGTCTTCACTCTCAGACTTCAACTGAGCGACCATCGCTCTCATGCAGCCCTTCATGGAGCACAGTGTGGCCTGAAGGGAAATAAACAATATGATGCTGTAATCTGATTGGTCACTGAGTTTGAAGCATGATGCAGTAAAAATTAAGATTATTTGTAGGCAAACACATGATTCAATCCAGAATGATTTTGAATTAAAAAATGATTTGATTGAAGAAAAAAAAACAAAAAAAAACAGAAGGACACTGTATTTTGGCTCTTACTCCAGTTTACTGTGTGTTATACAACAGATTTTTATCCTGTGCCCACTGAGCTGCTGATGAAGCTTAACAAACAGTTAAGATAACTGGTTCTGATGAGCATCGTGCAGAAACATGTTTAAAACAAGGGTCAGACTGTAAAATGTACAATGCATGGTGGCACAGTGTTTAGTGCTGTTGCCTCACAGCTTGCGTGGGTTGTCTCCGGGTGCTCCGGCTTCCTCCCACAGTCCAAAGACATGCAGCTTAGGTTGCTCTCAACTGCCGGTAGGAGTGTCTGTCTGTGTGTGTGTGTGTGTGTGTGTGTGTGTGTGTGTGGCTCTCTAATAATAATAAACTTTATTTCTGTAGCGCTCTCCAAGAGCACCAGAGTGCTGTACAATAAAAACACACAAAACAATAACACTAGCAAAAAAACAGGTAGGTGCAAACACAAATACTAACCATAACTAGGTTATGGTTAGGTCTCAAAAGCCTGCTTAAAAAAGTAAGTTTTTAAGGCCGACTTAAAGGCCAGAGGCTCACTTTCCGCCCTTAATTCTACCAGAAGAGCATTCCACAGTCTGGGGCCATAGATAGAAAAAGATCGGTCGCCCCATTTTTTGTAGCAGGAGTACGGCACCGCCAGCGACAAATGATCAGCGGAGCGAAGAGCTCGACGCGACACATACACTGACAGCAGGTCAGATAGGAAGGATGGGGCGAGACCACGGGTAGCCTTAAAAACAAACAATAGGATCTTAAATTTAATTCTAAATTTGGATCGGAAGCCAATGAAGAGCACGAAGAATCGGGGAGATATGGACAAACCTGGGAGCATTGGATAGCAGCCGAGCTGCTGCATTTTGGACCAATTTCTGAAGCAAAGTCTGGGGTACTCCTACATACAAGGCATTGCAATAATCTAACCATGAAGTAATAAACGCGTGAATAGCCTTCTCCAGATCTCCATGTGACCAAAAAGGTTTAACCTTCGTTAAGTCTTAGCTGAAAAAAACAAGACTTAACCACTGCCTCAATCTGTTTCTCAAAAGTAAAACCACCATCAAGAATTATTCCGAAGTTTTTCACCATATCAGATAGAGGGTCTAAGTGTCAGCGATGGACTGGCCAGGTTGGACACCACCTCTTGTCCAATGTCAGCTGGGATTAGCTCCAGCCCCCCACAACCCTTGTTAGGATAAGTGGTACAGATAATGGATGGATGAATGAGTAAACATGCTGTTTGTGTTAAGCTCTGACCTTATTGGCCACGTCTCCAAAGGTGAGGTTGGTAAGTGCCATGCCAGCATATCGTCGCAGAGTGATGCTGTAATGATCACTGCTCAGACCGAACATCTCACAGTCCACCTGCAGCAGCTCTGCCACTGCCTGCAGACCACCTGCAGGGACAAATAACCCAGAGACACAGTGTTAGTCCAGGAGGAGACATACACACAGAGAGGGGGGAAAAAACAAACAAACAAACAAACAAAAAAAGATACCACGTTTTTTTTTTTTTCAGACCAAGTACAAGTACTTACATTAAGTACCGTGTACTTAATGATGAAATTTCTACTATCAAAAAACTCCAATTACCATAAAAGTGCAGAGACTTGAGAGTTTTTTTTATTTTCATGAGATTTACTTTCTGATAGTGATTACCAGGACATCCTGTGTACCAGAAGGCCATTTACCTGAAAACGTCCTGTGATAACAAACAGCACTGCCACCGTTCCTACCGAGTATCGTGTACCCGACTGAATGTGTGTAGCCTGCTACACAACATACTGTAAAACAGTGGATTTTAACCTTTGTAGGAGCACGACCCACGAAAGCTGCCTCCATCCTCAAAGATCCCACCCACCCCCTGCATGAACTGTTCACCTCCCTACCCTCTGGTCGGAGGTTCAGAAGTGTGAAATGCAGGACCACTAGATTGAAAAACTCTTTCTTTCCCTCTGCCATCAGACTCCTAAACAGCTGAGGTGTTTATTACCAGGAAATACGTGATGTACTGTTTACATTCTCAGTTTGCACAATGACTGTTGACTGCTGCACATGTTGCTCCCATGCAGCATACATTCTCTTATTATATTCTTATATATTTTTATTATATTGCTGCATTTGCTGCTTAAAGTGCCTTAGATTTTGTGTTACTTATTTATCTACTTTATATTTCATTTGTATTTTGTGGCATTCATGTGGACGGCAAAGTAAGAATTTCATTGTACAGGGAAACACGTTTCCTAACTGTGCATATGACAAACACTCTGACTGTATTAGGACGTGAAAGGTTTCACAGACCACACGTCACAGTTTAGGAGCACATATTTTCACAGCCAGAGATTTAAATGTTTAACTAGGCTGCAGCTCTTATGTGGCGCTGTCCTGTTGTCTCTGCTGGACTCACAGCTGCTCTGCTGCAGAGGAGCCGCTGTCTCAGCCTGGTTTTGGTGGACAACTTTCACAGGTACAAGTAGAGCACCTGTGGGTGTACCGATGCCGATACCATTACTGGCATCGGCATCGGTACATCTCTAGTAAAAACAGTCAAACAGTCAGGCAGAGAACAGGACAACCAATAAGGCAATAAAATGGCTGAGGAAAGAATCAGTCAGCCAGTCGGAAAGAAGGGGAAAGAAAATTGGGGGAAGGAAGAAACAGCCAGTAAATCTGCCAGACAACTACAATTTAAATCATCAAGTACATGAAACATATGTGAAAGACAGCAGACATTTAGCCAGTCAGTGAAGGGTCAGAAAATACGTTTACCAAATCAAAAGAAACAGTCATTTAGTAAACCTGTAGTCTGTGGTTGGACTCACCGAGTTCGTTCATGGCGTGTCGATGTTCTTCATCAAAGGAAAGTTTCATGAGGACGCATACGGCCGGACAGATCTGGTGCTCAACTGGAGATGGCACTAAACGCATTATATTGGTATTAATATTTAGGTACAACATTATAGTGCATCTATAACGTACAATATGTATACACAGAGTACTATGGCAAACATTTGGTCATGTGACTGCCTTGGATTGGTCAGCGTGTGACATCACTCACTGGGGTTGTCCTCCTGGTCGACGCCCCTCTCATGGTTCTCCTGCCAGGTCCAACAGGCCTCACAGTAATGACGCACCTGCTCCAACAGGTGGAGCACTCTGATCTCACGTCGTCCTCTCTTATCGTCTGGCTGACTGTGGACAATGTTGTGCAGCGCAGCTGATGCCCGCGCACGGGCCTCCTTACTGCCACGGGAGTTACCTGGGCAATGGGACAAATCAAAATATAAACAAATAAACAGGTGAGGTGCTAAAAGTCACTCTTGACAGAAAACACCCTGGTTACCTAGCAACAGGGAGTCCTTGTCGTTGCCGTGCAGCAGCTGAATGAGCAGCGGCAGACAGCCAGACTGACGCATGGCAATGCACGAGTCCTGCGAGCTCGACATGGCAAGCAGTGTGCGTGACATGTCGTCCTTGTCATGAGTCCCCAGCATGGACAGAAGACTGTAGACCATCTCCACCTGCAAGGGGGTGACACACGGGGTTAACTTGTTACAGTGCACATAATGCTCTGAGCCCCACCCCCCACTCCCACGCATCTCCTCTATTATTTATTTTTATATGCCACCACTACCCGTCACTGTGTCCCCTTTCTCCCGTAGTGTGTCCTCTCTCTCTCTCTCCCTGTACCTTTCTGCAGGTTGCCCTGGCCCTGGAGCTCTACATTTCTGATGAGCAGCCCCCAGCCACAACCTTCCCAGTGTTTTGTTTGTTGTTGTGTTTATTGTTTCTTTTCTTCTCTCTCTCACTCCTCTATCCACTCACCCCAACCGGTTGAGGCAGAAGGCCGCCCACCAAGAGCGGTCTGTCCGTTAAAGGGAGGTTTTCCTCCTGCTGATGCCAAGTGCTGCTCGGGGGGTTTGTCGGGTTTTTCCTCTATAATATTTTAAGGTCAATACTAGGAGTTTTCAAACTTAATATTCAAAGGTCCGAATTAGATTTCTATTCAAGGTCATAGGTCTGGGATGATTATTGATAAGCAAATTACTTTTATTAAACTTGCTTATAACTTACAATGTACACTCACTGGCCACTTTATTAGGTACACTTGTACAATTCCCCCAACCAGCCATAACATTATGACCACTGGCAGGTGAAGTGAATAACACTGTTACAGTGGCACCTGTCAGTGTGTAGGCAGCAAGTGGACATTCAGTCCTCAAAGTTGATGTGTTGGAGGCAGGAAAAATGGGCCAGTGTAAGGATGTGAGTGACTCTGACAAGGGCCAGACTGTGATGGTGACATGACTGGGTCAGAGCATCTCCCAGTCTGCAGGTCTTGGTGGGTGTTGTTGGTCTGCAGTGGTTAGTACCTACCAACAATGTCTAAGGAAGGACACAGGGTGAACTGGAGACAGGGTCATGGACGCCCACGGCTCACTGATGGTGAGGTTGACCTATTGTAGATTAAACCTTTAACTTCCATTTGTACTTTTCAAAGATTAAAATGTATTTGAATCTTTGTTTAAAAGGTTGAAAATGAGAAATACTGTCCATTGGTCTCTATGAAGAGAAAGAGTCAGGGGCTGTAGTGGTGATATCACACCTAGAGCGGTGAGGCTGTTGGATTAGTCTAAATAATTCTCTAACTCGTCTTCATGAACAGTTTTCACTCATTTTACATACGTTTTTCACTGAATTGTAGACACATCTGTGCTCTTCCTGACAGTAGAACTGTGGAAGCAGATGGATTCACAGAAGATGCACAGTGAGCTGCAGAGTGACACGAGTGCCGACCAACTGCCACATGGACTCCTATGTAAACAGCATTAGGCAGATGGTCATAATGTTATGGCTAACCTGTGTACATGCAATCCAATGCAACACTTCCACCGTAGCACATTTGGACAGTGACATCCTCACCGCATTAGCGATGTAATGTACACTGACAGAAGATGGCAAAGTCTCGCTTTCTCATGCCCGCAAGACAGAATGTGAATACCTGTTAGCCATTAGCTAACTTCGACATTCCTAATACAAGGTGTGGGCTAGGTCCGGGGTGATTTGCCTTCTGGTCCAGATCCAGACCGGACTCTGGACTCTGAGAAGCCCTGGTCTAGACCTTACTATGTAAAGTGCGCTGAGATGAGTTTTGTTGTGAACTGGTGAAATACAAATAAAACAGCAATGAATTGAATGCACCTTCTCCACCTGCTGAGATGTTACCTTTTTACAGTGGGAATAAACTTTTTACAGTGCTTGTACCGTTTTATTGATAATTGATTAGTAAGATTAAAAAGACACACAAAATGTTTTGGGGTGGGGTCAGGAGACGGGATATTTGTGGGGGTGTTGCTGGGCAGAATTACAAACCTTTGTTCCCAGGTGGCTGGTGATTTTTCGAGGCACAGAGTAGCTCATCTCATTGGCCGGCTCATGGTCCAGTCGGCTGCTGGAGATCTAGAGTAAAGATGGAACAAAATGAAAACAGAGGGTGACATGACAAAAAAAGTAGGTTAAGAAAATGAATATGGGTAAAAACATAATGCTCACCTGAGCTCCAGCCAATCCACTGCTGTCGCTCAACCCCTGAGCTCCCTCCACCTTGAGAGAGAGAGAGGACTAGTTTTATCCACCTTGTCAATACAACCACACCGACATGTTGCAGTGCTGATGACACGTTTCTTCTTTTTTTTTTTTATGACTCATTTCTGATCACACTGGATTTAGATTCCAGTCTCCACAACAGGTTACCTGCAGTCGAGCTCCCAGTCTCATGATGTCTTTCTCTATCTGCTGAATACGAGACACACGAGCCTGAAACAAACACACAGCAACACGGTGTAAAGGTGTGGACACACAGGTGTGTTTGTATTCCTTTTATGACAATCTGATTTCTCAGTGTAAATGTGTTTGCTGTATGTTGCCTCAAACATTACAACATAATTAAATGGCCATGTACACAATGTGTACAATAAGGTCAATGACAGGCAGGGTTAGAGCGCTACACTACGGTATGAAAACTGATGATATCATACCATATGCATTCATTTATTACTGGTATTGAAGAAAAAGCACAGCGTGTGAGCATCTCCTTTGCTCCCCGACTGCCTGTCAGACTCCAAAAAGGGCGCCACACACAAATATGCAGCCAACAAAATAGATATGATATCCCCAACCTCCATCCACAGCAAAATAAATTAAAATCAGCAATGCGGGATTACTAAATTGAACATCCAGACTCCCTACTTATTGCCTTAAAGAATTTTAACAAAGCAAAACCTCAACCATGGATTCTCCAAATACAGACATTTAATGGTTCCAACCAGCACTGCTGAAGCAGCAAGAGAAGGTCAGGAGAAGAGAGATGTAGGAGAGCAACATGCTGCTGTGGGAGAGCCTGCTAGTAGGAGGGACAAGTGGTATGAACAGCACAGAGGCAGCCTGCTATAGCATTACGATATTTAATAATATAAAAAAATTATGAAAGCGTTACCCCCCCTTAATCCTGTTTTTATTACTTCCTGCAGACTAACAAAGCGCACTGAGAGCCTCTGTGCCAGGGCCAAATTTCCTTGTGTGTTTAACATATTTGGCCTATAAAGAGACATGAAAATCTCATCCTGTTTCAACCATAGACACAGGTGATCCAGTCTCCAGGTGCGTTCATACCTGAGCTCTCCTCTCCATCTCCTGACAAGAACCCAGTTGCTCCTCCATCGCTGACCGGATCTGACGAGCCTCAAACTCCAGCTGCCGGCGGCTCATGTCGGTCTGAAGAGTGAACTACCAAACAAAACTACACATTACCCCCTGTGGACATATCAACTACAACTCCCAGGGTGCATTTCACTAACAACCAACCACTCACAGAGCTTCACAATCTGCAGTAGTGGCACAGTTACACCAGTTCTCTCAGTAGTATTGTCAGGACTGCAAACCAGAGGCTGCAATATTGAGAGCAACAGTGCTCTCAGGGATATTAAGATTTAGAGGAGTAGCATTACAGTAATAGAATTTACAAGAGTAGTTTTATAGTGGTAACAGAAGCACCATTACAGAGGCTCTGCAGCTGTATTCTCAGCAATACTATCTGAGGTTGCAGTACTAGTAATAGTAGTAGTCATAGTACTCAGCAGTACTGTCAGTGGTTACAGTATCACAGCCAGGAAGGTAGCTCTAGCAGTACTCTCAACACTGGCAGTTATACTCTAAATGAAGTAATATTAGCATTAGTACTATCAGAGGTTGCCATGTTACAGTAGTTGTAGTACAGCTGAAGTACTACACTTATTAGTTCCTCTCCTTTTCCAGCTCCTTCAGGAATTCTATGTGTACTGTAAGCTGAAGCAATACTTTGTTGTACTCTCAGTACAGCAGTAGTTGTTGCTGCCTACCTCTAATTGAAACTGTGAAACAGTGTTTACATTTTCAGTGAGTGGAAGGCTGTCGATCCTCTTGGTGAGATTCTGCAGCTGAGCATAGTACCAGTCCTTCTCCTTCTCCTCCTTCTCCAGCTCAGCCAATAGGAGAGACCTGTGAAAGAGCAGCAGCCAATCACAGGGCACCACAGAGAGACAGTAGTCAACCAGAGAAAGAGAGACAGAAAGAAGATCTTTCAAATTTGGCACAAACTACAAACACAGGCACAAAAACTACATGAAAAACAAGAAGAATGAATTGATTGAGGAGCAAGGAACGGTCATATAAAAGTCTTGAGATGCAGCCTATGTGTACTAGCACAATAAACAGAAGTTGCACAGTGGTACTACCTTCAGTATCAGTATGGAGACACTCCTAGCAATAGTACAAGCAGAAGTATTTAAATTAGTAGTAGTATTTAAAGTACTAGTGGTACAGTTGCAATACTGCTTTCAGTATCACTAAGTACATTACAGTAGTACCATAATAGTACCAACTAATGTAACAGAAACAGCATTTGCTGTAGCCTAGGTATTTCTTGCAGTACAGTACTATTTTTCTATCGGTACACGAAGCAGTACAGTTTTTTCCACAAGAAGCAGTACCTCTCCTTCTCCAGCTCCTCCAGGCAGCGGTCATGGCCGTCTCTGCCAGCAGATGGCAGGCCTTTCCTGGGGAAGGCAGTGGTTGTAGGGGGACCTGGAGTTCCAGAACCTCCAGGAGCAAGAGTTCCAAAACCAGAAGTGGCTGAGCTAGAGGATGACGAGGGGGGCAGAGAAGGCCTCGACCTGGGCATAAAACCTGCTGAGTCCAGGCTCATCTCTGGAGAAGAGAGATGGACATCAAATCAAATTTATTTATAAAGCACTTTAAAAACAACATCTAGTTGACCAAAGTACTTTACATGGGCAGAGTAAAATCACAATAAATAACTACAATAAAATAAATAGGACCAGTGCAAAAAATAAAACAGCAAAATGACAGACACACAGATGACATATATTCAATAAATTAAAAGAATACATCAGGCCCTATTGTGTATTAAAAGCCAAGCCAAATAAATATGTTTTAAGCAATGATTTAAAAGTAATGAGGTCAATAGCTGATCTAACATTAAAAGGTAGACTATTCCATAATTTAGGGGCTGCAACAGTAAAAGCACGGTCACCCCAGCGCTTATATCTGGTCCTAGGAACCTCTAAAAGAAACTGGCTTAAAGATCTGAGGGACCTTGTAGGTTTGTGCCAGTGCACAGGTAGGATGGTCCCAAACCATTAAGAGCCTTAAAAACTCAAATCAAATCATCTTTGCGCCTAAAGGGCTCAGCCTTTCCTGGATGTCACTGTCGTACCAGATCATGATGCAGTCACCTGTTGACATCACCTGATTCACATGGAATCATCATTTCATTGTTTGACCTCATCACTGGCCATGAAATGCAACTGAACCAACTTGTTTTGGAACGTCTTGCAGCATCAGGATTGAGGTGAAAGATAATTCTTGGCAATAAAGTTTATGCTTATGAGTGTCATCGCTGTTGGTGGCGCAGTTAGATGATGTTAAAGCCATGAGCTTCACAACTGAAAATTTGGAGCTCAGATGTGAGCAGCATTGAAGCTGATCCCCTCTATTCAGCTGCCACTTTACTGGACCCTCGGTACAAAAAGAGGTGAGCCAGATTTTTTTTTATTAATAATAAATTGTTAATTCCCTAATGTTGGCTACATTTTAAATGGTAAATGTGAAATCTTGCAAAACCAAAGCTACACTTATCTCCACATCACCACATCCCAAAAGTGGTGCTTTGTAAATGTGCAATAATTTGGAGAAGTGTGTGTCCTTGGCCTCTCACCACTACTCATATTTACTTTGCACCTGTTCTACCACTGACATGTGCAGGCGTCTCGTTAATGTTGTTGCCATGGAGACCAGAATACGAGTATTTGCTTCTTGCAGTGTCGCTTTCTCCTCCAGCAGATGATCAGTAGAGAACAGTCCCTCTCTGCTGGCAAGCTGGTCACTTGCACAACAGCTCTGCCAGCTCGTAAAACATTATTACTGGACATCCTGACCAGCAACTTTTTAATTTAATCTTTTTTTTTTTTTTAAATAACTTTTACAAATAATTACTGGCTAAAGGAAACGATAATGTGTACATGTTTGTGCTCTGTGTTTTTTTGTTTACCTTTGAGTCGTTCGATGAGCTCCAGCTGAGTTCCAGACGCCTCTCCGGATTCTTCTTCTATGGTGCCCTGCAGCTGCTTCAGCACTTCCTGTTTTACATGAGGAGAAAAGAGTGACATCACAGTGACATGATTCTCACCACAGTTAATAATTTTTTGTTAATAATCCATAAACACATGGAGGCTTTAAAAATGTTTACATGTTAATGACAACGAATCAAATAAGAAATAACTCACCATATTATAATAACAATAATAGTGATAATAAACTGTCAGTGTCAGGGGATTAAAGGAGTAACACACATGAAACACAATAACTGACAAAACAACTCTGTTTCTCACCCAGTTTTTTACAATAATATCAAAGTATTGATTTGTTGACTCACCACGATGAATTGGCAGCGTTCAGACAGCGACATGATGGAAACTAACAACACTCATACTGTTTTCTGCTCATGGACAGAAAACAGGAAACAGGAAATGGGAAGTGTGTGTGTTTGGAGAGCAACTACAGGACAAAGAACCACTGACAACAAAACTACAACAAAAAACCAAGAGAGATGTGAAGACAAACAGAATTATTCACAGGAATAATGAAACAAGAAAAGCTGAAAAAAGGAATAAAAAAAATTTAAGCAGAAAAAAAAATACAGCCATAAAACAGAAAACCCTAAAAATAAAAACTATATCACCAACTAACAAAAATATGAAAAGGAAAAGAACAAGAACAGCAGAAAATAAAATTAGAATCACTAATAACACAATAGAAAACAAGCAAAGATCCTCACACAGACAGACATCTCACTCTGAACCAGGAGCTTAATCGGACACTCAGAGCAGCATGTGATTGGTGGAAAAAACCACCAGGTCTATTCTGGGCTGAAGGTAGAAAGACACTGGGTTTATATAGAAGAGAGAGAGTTGACAAAAGCGAGCAAGAGAGAGAGACAGACTCGGGTGAGAGACACCGACTTTATATGACAGACTTTCTGTGACAGAGATAAAACAAAAACATTCTTCAGACTGCACTCCGAAGTAACAACAGAAATACTGCATGTAGTACAGCTCAAAAAAAAGAGTGTACCATTGTTGCTGTACTACTATGCAGAACCAACTCCGTTTCTACAAGTCTCGTGAACTCTCACTGGCCAGACTCCACCCCGGTATAAAATCCAGGCCATTGCTTGTTTGTGTGAGCTTGCCTGACATCCACCGGTGCCATTGTAAAAGCGGAATGTTTTGACTATATGCAGTTTTGTGGGATATAGTTTACCGCCTGCTGCCTGCATTATGACCAGGGGATGTGGAGAAAAAAACTGGGCCTGAGGTTATTGCATGCCCGGGAATGTTCCTGTACAGGGATTTGCTGTTTTACCTGACTGGGTCTAACCTGGCCAGTGAAGTACCCCAGGGTGGTGAATGATCAGCTCATCAACACTGGAATCCCCCAGAGCACAGTACCTGTTTGTTTTGATCGCTTGAGACCAATGTCTCTGCCCCGTGTGATGTGATGTGGGTTAACGAGCGGATATTAACGATCCATGATGTTATTGTTGGTGCTACGCTACCTGTTGGAATTAATTTAATACGTTGGGACTGTATGTGGTCGTGTGGGGGGAGATGCAGTGACCACCGGTTGGATTTACTGACCTTGGAGCTACTTGAAAGGGAGCGATGTTTCCACTACTTGGTGGGACTTAATGTTAAGTTTAAAAAACACACGTTGCATCTGTTAATGCCTTGTTTCTATAACATTAGAGAGAATTGTTGTAAGGCTGGAGAAGTTACATTGTCTATATTATGCCAGGTAAAATATGGGGTTTCTCAGTTACCTGCTTTGTTTAGAGTGTTACACATCTCTTTTCATTGGTACATACAGTGGTGTGAAAAAGTATTTGCCCCCTTACTGATTTCTTATCTTTTTGCATGTTTGTCACACTGTAATGTTTCAGATCATCAAACAAATTTAAATATTAGTCAACGATAACACAAGTAAACACATCATGCAGTTTTTAAATGAAGGTTTTTATTATTAAGGGAAAACAAAATCCAAAACTACAAAGCCCTGTGTGAATAAGTGTTTCCCCCCCCTGTCAAAACATAACTTAACTCTGGTTTAT